CCAGGCCGCCTCACCCCCCCGCGGGGGCTCGGCAGCGACTGCTGCTGCCAGCTCGTCGCCCCCAGGGTCTGCAGGGGAGGAGGCGGCTGCTCCTGCAGCCCTTGCCTCGTCTCTGCTGCGGGCGACTCGGCCACGAAAACGCGCTACCCCTGATTCCCACAATCGACTCGTTGACCCTTGGCTGCCCCGCCCCTCAATTCCATGGGGAAGGTGGGCGCGGGCCCGAATGTCTCCTCGAGCGTGCTGCCCGCCTCAAGTGCGTTGGTCAGCTGCCTCGTCAGGATGTCGACGCTGTCGCACTGGCGCTCGATGCTGCTGACAGCTGCCTCCGTCGATGAGGGCCCACGCAATGTGGGCTGCGGGGTGAGCTGGGCTGCCTGGCCACCAGGTTCCGCGTGGGCGCCTGGTGGCAGCGAACGCGTTGTCGTCAGGGATGCAGTAGTCTGCTGCTCGGGTGAGTCTGGAATAAAGATGGCGGGCAAGCCTTCGGCCATCCCTGGCGCCCCAGGGTCAGGCTATCCTGGCGGGAACGAGCTGGCCCTGGACGCGGATGCTAAGTCAGCGGCTGCCTCGTCGGCCTGCTGCTCCTCAGCCTCCCCCCTGAGCTGCCTGCGGGTTTGGCGTCCTCCAGTCCTGCGGGGAGAGCATTGGCGCGTGCTCTGAGCAGTCGTCGGCAATGCCTTGGGAATCGCCATGCATATCTGGGGCATGCAGGTCCTGGTCCCAGTGCTGCTGCAGGGCTAACTCAGCCTCGTAGTCCTGAGCTGCCTGCATCGCCTCGGCGCCCATCAGGTTGGCTTCCCACTTCTGGTTCGCCTCCTGCTCTGCCTGCCACTGGGCATGGACATCCAACTCGTACTTCTTCGCCTCTTCCAGGGGGGGAACTCGGTCAGGGCTCCTCGATCTATCCCCCTGGACCGGCAGGGTGCCCTCGTCCTTAGCCCGCCGCGAAGGGGCTCGGCTGGGCGCGATGGCTCGGGCAGCCAGCCTCTCCTCAGCAGCGCAAGATGGCGATCCCGAGCGCGGCCCTGATGGAGCTGGGAGCCCTGGCAGCTGATGTCGTGGGGGAGGTTATGCTGCCTCGGCTGCTGCTGCCTCCGCTGCGGCCTCCTGCATGATCCTTCCTTCGCACGCCTCCTCGGCGAGAACGATATCGTGTCCGAGTCTTGCGACCCAGGGAGGTGCCCCCCCTGGGCGATCCTGCGGGCCGCCTCCTTCGCCGACATGTGGGCGCCCATGCCGATCGCCCTGACTTCGGCGTAAAGTTGGATCGCCTCCTTGCGCAGCTCCTCGCGGCCGGCGAAGTGGAGTTCGAGCATGCGCATCAAATGTCTCAGCCCCCCAACTTCGCTTGCCTCCTCCTGGCCTGCGTGAGCGAGCTCTTCCATATTCTCGTGCATGCTCGCCAACATGCCGAGGCTGCGCTGCGTGGACTCGCTGATCCACCTCTCTCGCCCCCTCCTTTGTTGCGAGGCTGCGTCTTCCAGCTCGGCAGCTTGTTACAGGTCAACGAGGCGAAACTCCAGAGCGCGCGCCAGCTCGTTCTCCGCCGCCACCTCACGCTGCTCGAAGTCCTCGCGCTGTTCACCCAGTTGGGCCTGCAGGGCGCGTGCCTCCTGACGCAGGCTGGCAGCGTGGAGCTGGGCGTCGTGCGCAGCCGCTTGCTCGGCCTGGGCGTGCTCCACCGCTCGGCGGGACTCCTGTTCAGCCGATTTCTGCTCTGCCAACGGCATCGCCCTGCTCGTATCCTCTGCCCCCTCTGAGTCCTTCTGGGCCTTATGCAGTGCGAACTGAAGGGCCTGGACTTCAAAGTTGGGCTGGTGTGTAGCTGCCGCGGCTGCGCATGCTGCCTCCGCCCTGGCCGCAGCCCCTGCCTCTCGCCAGGCCTCTTGCTTAAGCTGCACCTCGCTAGCCTCCAGGGCCAGCGCGCGTGCCTCCGCCCTCCCCATTACCTTCCGCTGACGGTCTCGGTCATCCTCTTCAGCTGCTGCTGTGTCTCAGGCGGGAGGCTGCCCTTGCCCTTGGCTTTGGCAAGATCCTGTGCCATAGCTGCCCTGCGCTGGCGCTGCCACTCGTTCTTGGCTTCCTGAAGCTCTGCGGCGCGGCTAATCCTCATCGCCTGACAGGTCTGCTGGAAGGCCGCGTCCTGCTGCTGGAGCGGCTGGCGGTGAACTCCAGCGGCGGCTGCTGCCTTTGTCGCCTCGTGCTGGGCCCGCACCATGGCCTTGACCGCCTCCTCCTCGGCAGCAACCAGCTCACGCCGGGCTTCGCCTTGCCCACCTCCGGTCTCCTTCTGGCTTCCTGGGTTTGGCGCTGGGCCCCCCTGCTCCGCGGCTGCCTGCTGCACCCTCTCGACGAAGCCCCTGCTGCCAGCCGAGCTCGCGCGGGACCTCGGGGTCTCGGGCGCGGGGGAGCTCCCTGCCGGCCACGCTGCTGCGCCTCCTCTGCTGGCGGCCCTTTGACGGTTGCCCACAATGATCTTGTGGTACATGTCCCAGTCCCACGCAGAGGACGCTGCACCCGCGCCTTGATGCTCGCTGTCCTCTTCCTCATCATCGCTGAACCTGCCCTCGTCAGCGAAGATGGCCTTCGTGCCGCGGATGTTGGCCTCCACGAGCGTGAGGGCATCCTGCATGGAGCGCAACTCGGTCGAAAGCTCCTCAACCTTGGACTTGGCGCTGGCGATCTTCTCCACAAGTTCGCTGCGCCTTTTCCTTAGCTCCTTGAGCTGGCCCTCGGAGTGCCTTGTGACCAGCCTCTGGTACTTGATAAGGGCCACCTCTTTCACCGTTTCGGTGGTCTCGGAGCCAGCACCTCGAGCAGCCTGAAAGAGGTTGTCCAGCTGCCTGAGCCTCTGCTCCGTCCGCGCCAGGAACTTGCGAATTCCTGGCGCGTCGACGGGCGGGGGCCCCCAGCGAGGGTGCGCCAACGCTTCCTCAAGCGAGCACGCGACGACGGCATCTAGCAGTTTCTGGGCGCCCTTGTCACCTTTTTGCGTGCTCTGCTGCCCCCCCGACTGTCCGCCAGAGTAGCCAGCTGCGCTGCCCGCGGCACCTCTGCTGGCCCCGCGCCGCCGTGAGCCAGGGCGGCGCGGCGGCTAGAACTGCCTCCTCCTGGGCCTGGCCCTTGCCGCCGCGACCGCTGCCGCCTCTGCCTTTCCCATCGCGTGCCATTGTGGACTGGGCGGAGGTGGTGGGCGGCAAGGCTCTCGGCCGCCGCTTGCAGGAGGAGAAGGAGCCTGTCCTGGCCTCTCTGATGCCTCTCGCGGCGATGCCAGGCGGGCTCCCCGCGCGGCGTGTTAGCGAGCTGGCCGCCTGGGCCTCGGCGCGGCTGGCGGCGGGCGCCCTCGGCGCCTGGCGGCGGCAGCGCAGCGGCGGCGCGGCGCGGCTGCGGGGCTATGGCCCGCCCCGCGGCGCGCTGCCCACGGCCGAGCCGGGGCTGGCCGCGACGAAGGGGAAGGGGGCACGACGACGACACGTCCCCCCCGGCGCCCCCCCGGCGGCGTACCCCCTCAGCCAGTGGCTATCATCCCCCTCCTCCTCCTCCTCCTCCTCCTCCTCCTCCTCCTCATCCTCCTCCTCTCCTCCTCTCCTCCTCCTCCTCTCCCTCCTCCTCCTCCCTCTCCTTCATCATCATCATCTCATCCTCATCCTCATCTCTCATCCTCATCCTCATGATCCTCATCCTCTCATCCCTCATCCTCAAACTCATCCTCATCCTCATCCTCATCTCATCCTCATCCTCATCCTCATCCTATCCTCATCCTCATCATCATCATCATCATCATCATCATCATCATCATCATCATCATCATCATCATCATCATCATCATCATCATCATCAGCATCAGCATCAGCATCAGCATCAGCATCAGCATCATCTCATCCTCATCTCATCCTCATCTCACATCATCATCATCCTCATCCTCATCCTCATCATCTCATCCTCATCCTCAGCCTCAGCCTCATCCTCATCCTGATCCTGATCCTCATCCTCATCCTCCTCATCCATCATCATCAATCATCATCATCATCATCAGCACAGCATCATCATCATCATCATCATCATCAGCATCATCATCATCATCATCATCATCCATCATCATCATCATCATCATCATCATCCCCTCCTCATCATCATATCATCATCATCATCATCATCATCATCATCATCATCATCATCATCATCATCATCATCATCATCCTCATCATCATCATCATCATCATCACCATTCACCATCACCATCACCATCACCATCATCACCATCACCATCACCATCACCATCATCATCATCATCATCATCATCATCATCATCATCATCATCATCATCATCATCATCATCATCATCATCATCATCGTCATCCTCCTGCAGCACCTCAAGGCGCAACCTATCGCGGAGCGAGCCCCCAGCCGACGCGACGCAGCTTTCCCGCGCGAGACCATCGCCCGCGCGCGCTGTGCCCAGTCGCGCAGCGAGGCGCCACTCCAGTCCCGCAGCGACCCCCCCACCGGTCGCAGTGCGAGGCCCCCGCCGATGCGACGCAGCTGCGCCACCCCCGCACGAGGCCCCCGCCCGCGCGCACAGTGCCCAGTCGCGCAGCGAGGCCAGTCCGCCGCGGCTCGAGACCCTCGACTGATCGCGGAACGAGAGTGCGAGAAGTTCTCCCTCGGGCGCAGGCGACGGAGGCGTTGGGGGGGCCTGGGACACGGGCAGCGCGAACGCGAACCTGAGCATCCCACCCCTCAGTCCTACTCAGGGGGTGGGGTGCTGAAGCCCGCGGGCGCGGTAAGCCAGAAGACCTCCAGAGACCTGGACCCCGTCGACGAGGGAGGGCCGCCGAGGGCCGCCGCAAAGGGCCGCCGCCGCGAACGTAAAATCGTCGTCGCCGCTCGCCGCCCCCGTCGTGATCGTCGCCGTCGACGTCGTGGCCGTCGGCGGTGAAGATGGCCGTCGTCGCTGCCGCCGCCGAGGGCCGCCGAGGGGCCGGCGAGAGGCCGTCCTCGGCGGCTGCCGCCGCGCCGCGAGGCCGCCCGGCTTGCCGCCGCCAATGAGGTCACCCAGCTTGCCGCCGCCCAGCGGGGGCGGCGGGGGGGGCCGCGCACCTCGGGCGGACGACGGCGCTGTCGCCGACGTCGCCGTCGCCGCCGCCGCAGTCCTCGTCGCCGCCGCCGCCGCCCCTGGCGGCGCTGGAGCGCAATGGCGTGGCAGTCGGGCGGTGGGCGGCTGGGCAGGCCCTTGCGGCAGGGCTCCTTCCCTGGGTGGGGGCGACGCCGACGACGACGACGACCACCACCACCACGACGACGACGAACGACGACGACGACCACCACCACCACCACGACGAGAACGACGACGACGACGAAGGACGACGACGACGACGACGACGACGACGACGAAGGACGACGACCACCACGACCACCACGACGACGAAGGACGACGTTAAGGACGGCGACAAGAATGACGACGACGACGACGACGACGATGACCTCCGCGACGACGAGGAACGACGACGACGACGACGACGACGACGACGACGGATGACGACGACGTCGACGACGACGACGACGAAAGACGACAACGACGACGACCACGACGACGACGAGGAAACGACGACGACGAGGAAACGACCACGACGAGGACCGGGAGATTGCACATACCAGGATGCGGGAAACACATGGCTGGACTCACGCGCAGACAGCGCCCCGAGGCAGTGCGCTGGACATGAACGAGCGGGCGCGCCGAGCGGCCAGCGAAGGGCCGAGCGCCCTGGAGCGACGTCTGGCCACGCGACCTGTTTCGGAAACCCTGAATCCAAAGAATGGCATCTCTCAGGGGCGCATCTTGTAGTAGAAGGAAGAAGAGACGACATAAACTTAAGCTTTCGGCGCTCCGCGCGGATTTCTATGATCTGCGCTGGGCCCCCCTGGCAGCAATTCTGGCGCCGCCCCTGGCGCGCTCCGCGCACCAGGGAGGGGGGGCCTTATGCCGTTTTTGTTCGATTCAATACTTCCGCCGGCTTCCGCTGGCCTTCCGCCGGCGGAGGCGGCCTTGCTTCACTTCCGCCGCTCCCGACAGCCTTCAGCCGCTTTCTGCCGACGAAAAGACGCCAACTCTTTCGATCCTCGAAGGCGATGCCCCTGCCTGGGACGCCGCACGTGTGCACCCATCGAAGCAGGAGTAGTGGGTCTGGCGCAGATGGCCCCGCAGGGAGAGGTGCAATAGTAATTGCAATAGCGGGTGCCTGGATGCAACAGCTTGCGCGTTGGATGCGATAATTGCGCGTGGATGCGGTCGTGTATCTCTTTCACGTGCAGTTGTCCATGCAATAAGTCGTGTTCCACCCCCCGCCGTTGTTGCGCACTGGCGCACGCAGTAGCACACAATTGGTGGGCGACGATACCACACCAGCAGGGAGCGGCTGGGGCTGGACGCAGAGGAGTTCGGTAGCAAACCATGGGGGTCTTGTATCCCCTTGGAATTCCGTCTTCAGGGTGCCTTAGCAAAAGCCTCCGTGATCTGCTACCCGAGGCTCGGGCTATACCGGAACGTAATCGAAATCGCATCGGATCGGCGGCGCCAGGATACACAACAGCGCAATGGCACGCCGTCCACCCATCTGCGCCAGATCCTGTGCCTCCAACCCAGAACCTGACCCTCGCTCGGCTGCACGTAAGAATGACCATAAGAATAGCGACCTGTGCTGCGCGGCCTCAGGGGGCGCGGGGGGGCCCAACCCGAGCGCGCGAGCCTCGGGTCGGGCGGAAGGGGGGGATAGCAAAGGGGGGGGGTGAGAATCAGCTCGCGTAGCTGACTTTCCCAGCGCCTCCCGGCGCCGGAAGCGGCCATGTATCGAGGAATGGGCCCCTCGGTGAGGCCGAAACCAGCTGCATGCAGCAAATTTCGTACCCCCCCCTTTCCCAAACCCCCCCTTTCGCCCGGCCCGAGAGCCACAGATACCGCATCGCACTCAGCGGCCGGGAGACTCCCGTGGGCCAGCACCAGGAGCACCAGAGGTCACTCCTAAAAAGGGCCGCTTTTGCGTGCAGCCGGCTCGCCCAGGCCAGCCGCGCCGGGGGTGCCGCCAGCTCCCGGGCAGGGCCTCGGGCCCGCTGCGGCGGCGACGACGACGGGGCCCCAAAGCACGTGTTCTGTGGCAACTCATGGGAGCCTCCCATACCATCCTGTCGCCTCTTGCGAATTGACCCTAGCCGACGCTAAATCGACGCTCATCGGCGCTGAATCGACGCTAATCGACGCAAGCCGACGCTAAATCGGCGCGATCTCACCCATTCCCAAACGCTAATCGACGCCAGTTGACGCTGAAGACGGGCCCCAGAGGGTATACCAGGCTCCCATGACTTGCTAGTTGCCGAGCCACCAGCTCCCCGGCAGGGCCTCGGGCCCGGCGCGGCCGCCCGCGACGACGACGGGGCCCCAAAGCTCCTCCTCCTCCTCCGCCTTGGCCTCGGCCTCCGCCTCCGCCTCCGCCGCCGCGTCCTCCTCCTCCTCCTCCTCCTCCTCCTCCTCCTCCTCCGCCTCCTCCTCCTCCTCCTCCTCCGCCTCTCCTCCTCTCCTCCTCCCTCCTCCTCCTCCTCCTCTCCTCCTCCTCCTCCTCTTCCTCCTCCTCCTCCTGCTCCTCTCTCCTCCTCTCCTCCTCCTCCTCCTCCTCCTCCTCCTCCTCCTCCTCCTCCTCCTCCTCCTCCTCCTCCTCCTCCTCCTCCTCCTCCTCCTCCTCCTCCCTCCTCCTCCTGCTCCTCCTCCCTCCTCCTCCTCCCTCCTCTCCTCCTCCTCCTCCTCCCCTTCCTGCTCCTCCTGCTCCTCCTGCTTTTCCTCCTCCTCTTCCTCCTCCTCCTCCTCCTCCGCCTCCTCCTCCTCCTCCTCCTCCGCCTCCGCCTCCGCATCCGCCTCCGTTTCCTCCATTCCTCTTCCTTATGGATGACGTTTCCCTGTCGCACCCCGATGCCAGTTTTTAAGGGCGGTCTGGGCGTTTCACCTGAGATTACCTCACCATTTATGGCCCTGAGGCTTAAACATCGACAACAGTTTCACACATAGAAAGCGGGTGGTTTTCAACATGTGGTTCTCGCCTTAGCGCCGCGAGCACTTTTGCTAAAACGTTGCAGGAGCTTCACGGATTGAGGGCGGTTCCTGTTTAAAATGTGGTTCGCGCCTTAGTCGGTCAGTCAGTGGGCCGTGCATCCTGAGGACGCGTAGGCAAAAGAGCGCGTAAAAAGTTAGGGTGGTGCAGTCAAGAGCAGCCCGCCAAACGCGAGGGCGGTGCGCCAAACACACACACACACACACACACACACACACACACACGAATCACAAAATTGAGAATAATTTGTTTGCCCATTGTTGTCTTGGTCGGCCTCTGCGACGGCGGTTGGCCCAATTTTTCGGGGCGGTGTCCACTGCGCAAACAAGTTGTCTGACGAAGTCATGGCCCGGCCTCGCGGCAATCTTATCGTATAGGTCGGCTTATGATTCGCATAAAATATCAGATAACGGTTTTGATGTTGCCCGTTCCAACACAGTCGCGTTAGATATGCGCGAGTAGCACGCACCAGGGATGCCCATGATTTTCCGCAAGCATTTGCAATGAAACGCGTCCAACTTATTTCTGTCCGATTTGAGCAGCCACAAGGAGTCGAATGAATACAAAAGTTTGGTCACCACACAACTTGGATAAATATGCAACTCCCAGTGCTTCCCAATTGACGCATGAGACCAAAACTTCTGGAGCTGCCTGAATATGTTTGTGCCTTCGCCGATCCGCTGGGGCACCTCATGGCTTGCGCGCCCGTCGCAAGACAAAAGCCCTGCCAAATCCGCCGACCCCAGAGGCGTGTGCGATATCACTCTGGCCTGGATACGATTTCTTATTACACATCACAGAGCTGGATACGCTGTCTGCTCACACATCACAATCTCTCTCAAACGCCCTTCCCACCCGCCTGGCATTCCCAGCCCGGGAGAACTCTTTCTCTTGGGACCCCCCACTCGACAATTCCTGTCACAGAAACTACCAACGCCCCCCACCTTGACCCCCTCCTCTCCTGTCATTCCCAACCTTGGACAACTCTGTTCTTATTACACCACCCTCGACAATTCCTGCCAAAGAACCCATCCCCCCCCCCACCTAGACCCACTCCTTGCCTGTCATTCCCACTCCGGGAGAACCTGTTCTTGGGACCCCCCACTCGACAATTCCTGGCCCAGACCTACCAACGCCCCCCAACTGGACCCACTCCATGCCTGGCATTCCCACCCCGGGAGAACTTTTTCCTTTGGGCCCACAATCGACAATTCTTGGCCTAGAACTTACCAACGCCCCCCACCTGGACCTCCTCCTGGCCTGGCATCCCCACCCCGGGAGAACTCTGTTCTTGAGACCCCCCACTCGACAATTCCTGCCCCAGAACCTACCCACGCCCCCCACCTGGACCCCCTCCTCGCCTGGCATTCCCACCCCGGGAGAACTCTGTTTTTTGGGGACCGCCCACTCGACATTTCCTGCCCCAGAACCAACCAACGCCCCCCACCTGGACCCCCTCCTGGCCTGGCATTCCCACCCTGGGAGAACTTCGTTCTTGGGGCCCCCCACTCGACAATTCCTGCCCCAGAACCTACCAACGCCCCCCACCTGGACCTCCTCCCGGCCTGGCATCCCCGGCCCGGGAGAACTCTGTTCTTGGGCCCCCCACTCGACAATTCCTGGCCCAGAACCTACCCACGCCCCCCACCTGGACCCCCTCCTGGCCTGGCATTCCCACCCTTGGAGAACTCTGTTCTTGGGACCCCCACTCGACAATTCCTGCCCCAGAACCTACCCACGCCCCCACCTGGACCCCCTCCTGGCCTGGCATTCCCACCCTGGGAGAACTCTATTCTTGGGACCCCCCACTCGACACTTCCTGCCCCAGAACCTACCAACGCCCCCCACCTGGACCCCCTCCTGGACTAGCATTTCGGCACCCCCCAAAAACTCTGCTCTTGGACCCCCCACTCGCCTTCCTGGCCCAGACTCCCACTCCGGGAAAGTGTTCTTGGGACCCCCCACTCGACAATTCCTGGCCCAGAACCTACCAACGCCCCCCAC